TACTGTACCGGGACATCGACAAAGCGGTAAACTCGGACATCGAATGTCACCTTTGCTCGACCGAATGCCCAGCTTCTACCCTAATCGTTTACAAGCAATGTGAAAACGCCGTCCTATGCGGAGTATGCGTCGTTGCCACCCACATTGGGCATCAGTTGGTACCGTTCACGGAAGCAAGATCGGAGATTCTGGGGGCCGACCTGCGCGAGGATCTAGAAACATACTTTGATCGACTATTTGCCAATATCAATGAAATCCACGAAGCCATGATCGAAAACCATTCCCAGCTACGGCAAGCTGTTGAAAAGGGGCTGAAGCGAATTGGAACGCATCCAGAATTTGGACGATCCATCTGGCTCTGTGAGGGACTGCGCTGGGCAGCTGATGGCTATGGGAAAAAGTTCAAGATGTACGTGCCGCATGCCAGGCTCTACAATGATAACCTTGAAAGACTGCACAAAAATATCAACAAGCTTGTGGAATTTTATCAGGATAAATAAAGTTTGTTGATGGAACGCCCCAAGTTCTAAAACTACGCACAATGCTGACGTTGAAAGAGATTCGGCATTATGGGTCAGATAAAAAGGAGATTCGTTGTGCATATACAGGGTGTCCCAAACCCCCCCCCCCCCCTCTAGCGGCGCCCAGACGTGTCCGATTCTCGCCGTTTAGGTATCTATCGAAAGCTCTCGAAAAGGCGAGAAAACATGCAGGGTTCATTTTCTTTATTATGTATTTTTATTGGCGAATTTTACCTCCAAAATCCATGAAAACGGCTGATTTACGCGAGATCCGCATGCTAATTGCGAAATTCCTATTGAAAAGATACCTGTTTTTTAGAAAAACGCTGAATATCGGACGAATCAGAATAAATCTTAGAAAATGAAGCCCGCTTGTTTTCTCGCCTTTTCGCGGGCGTTCGAATGGTATAAAAATCATCCTGATCTGAGCTTCCCACGGACCGCTAGAGGGGGGGGGGGGCGTTTTTTGGGACACCCTGTAATAAAAACAAAAGTCTAAAGTATAAAATAGCATAAAATAAGAATATCCACTTGCCTGCATAATACCGATTTAAATAAGGCCGATTTTCCTCATTCCGATTATTATAATGCCGATTTTACATAATGCCGATCTTCATAATGCCGATTTTACACAATTCCGATTCTCAAAATGCCGATTTTCATAATACCGAATTTACATAAGGTCCTTGAAAATTCAGTCTTCAATACCTGTCAGGGCAGCTTATTTTTACGAAAATTTTGTAAGATTTTTGTATATCAAATAAAGGTTAGAAACTTCATTAGAACGACCTGGAATATATTACCAAAAACTAAGGAGCGTTGAAAAGAAAATGGTTTAGCACCCTGGTAAAAGTCGCAAAGTCGGCATTATGGGAATCGGCATTATAAGGATCAGTATTAATAGTCGGCATTATGTAAAATCGACATTTTGAAAATCGGCATGTTGTAAAATCGTCTTTATCAAAATCGGCATTATGAAAATCGGTAAATCGACATGATGATATTAAACTGGTGTGTCCCTGCGACTCTCGCATGGGCGCTCTCTCTCTCTGCCCTGCTGACTATTTTCCAGCAGACGATTGGGGGCGAGGGGGACTCGCCCTAACAGCCATTCTTATCTCTTTAAATTTAGAGGGCAGAGGAACAAGGGCTTGGGTTCTGATGACTTTTGGGTAGACGTATCTATCTGTGGTATGGTTGCCCGCCGCATTCCGGGCCGAATCAATACTGCTAGCATTTGTTACCCCGTTTTTCACGCGATGGAAGAGAGGTTTTTGTGTGCCACTTTTTAACGTCTTGCGGTCTAACGTAGGAATTCGCTACCCTATTAGCGAATTACATCCTCGATCAATCGGATCTATTTAAGAAGTATTAATGAGCTAATATAACACTGGAATTTCCAAATTCAGACTCCGATTCCATTCCATTTCATCTCGGCCATTTTATATCGCCTTTGTTCCAGGAAGTGATGCTGTTTGAATGCTTCTCATGCCCAGGTTGCAAGCAGCCGTTTGGAGAAGACACAGATTCCCCGAACGCACCTGCGACATATTCAAATCGTGAAGGGCGCATTACGGCACGATGTAGCAGTTGCTGTAATATTACCGAAAAAGTAATCCTTGGGTTTCTGATCGATTGCATGCGCCAACCCGGTTTAAGCCGAAAGCAAAATGGTTGGGTTGCCACGGGACCGTTGGAATATATGAAATGTAATAGGTGCAAGGCAAGATTTGTAGAAGACGGAGATAAGGCTCCGATTTTACTACAAGGTTGCGGTCATTTGATTTGTCAGCAGTGCCACGGCAGAAGAAATGGATTCTGTTTGAAATGCCGGGAGACCCGAATCGCGTATTTCAACGCTGAGCTTTCTATCGTACATGAATATAACAAATGCGTGAAAAAACATGGAGAACAGATTTTGGGCAGATTTTTGACGGAAGAAACGATAAGGAAGAATGAATGTTATGTCTGTGAATTGGAATGTAATGTGGAGGACAGTAGAGCTCCTGACTTACTGACCTGCGATAAGTTGATATGCTCAAAATGTAGCCCGGACGTCGATTTGGACTATAAATGTCTGCTATGTGGACAAGATTTTGAGAAGCATCAAGAATTGGGGAGGAATACGGTTTTCAAGAAGCTTGTCGCAGACAACCCAGAGTTGTATTCGGATTGAGAAGGCGCGACACGAACGGAAGTGCTCACCACTCCATGGCTCACCGTTTTCAGCCCGGGCGCCGTAAAACCATGATAAAGACTTTGTATGATGTATGTATTGTATGTTTGTGATGGGATGCGCCAGGCGGCTGATCAATATGAGAAATGCTTCGAATCGTACCTTCCGCATGCCAGGATCTACAATGACCATTTGGAGAAGCTGCAAAAAACAATCACAAATTTTATGCAAGATTTTAAGCTGGAATAAATTATTTTGCAGGGGCTTTCGTGATTTTGAAAACGCACTGGCCAGTCCACTACAGAAATTTCTCAGCATTTGTCAGCAGAAAAATTACGCCGGCCATTCAAACACGGAACGCGTCAAATTCGATCGATAAATTCTCGAGACTCTTATGTTTTTAGACAAAATCCAGAGGACGAGAGAAACACGAACATTCGTAAGAGAAGGTCGATTTGGTGAGTCACCTGCTCGGGACATGAACAGTGGCCGCATTGATTTTTATACGGATTGATACGTATTTCGGTCCTCCGACAGACCTAGACCTACCAGCCCATTTCATTGCTTCCAAAAATGGCCGATCATGGATGATGGTCAGACTCTGCCGACTGCAACAGCCGCCCCTCTCCACTTTTCGTTCTGATGTCATCATTTCATTATTTTACTCCCTCAACCTCTCTCTCAATCTCTCTCTGTATCTCTCTCTCTTTGCTGACACCCTTCGGGCTCAACTACCTAATTTATTTTTTTTTACCGATCGTCACATATGATTGTCCATCCTGGTTTCATTTTATAGTTGTCATTAGTTTTTTTCTATGCAGTTTCGCGGCTTGAAACGAAAGTAATTTTGTAGGCCTCGACAATGCGGCTTGACTGCCTGACTTGCCCGGACTGCAAAGACCCTTTCGGGAACGAGATCGATGGGCCGAAGCTGCCGCTAGCCTTCCGAGGTGATCACGGAATCGTGAGTGTACGATGCATGAGCTGTTATTACCCAGACGACGCGGTAATTCTACGATATATCGTTGAAACCCTGCAACAACCCGGCATCGTCAGGTCGAACAAGGGCTGGTTCGCCTACGCCCCACTCGAATTTATGAAGTGCCAGCGTTGCAATGCAAAATTTACGGAAAACGGAGCGAACGACCCGATTTTACTGCAAGGTTGCGGCCACTTGATTTGTAGCGTGTGTGACCGGAATCGAGCCGGTTTCTGCGCTAGGTGTCAGAAAGTTCAGGAGCCATTCACAAACACGGACCTGTCATTGGTACATCAATATCAACGACTCGTCACAAGACAACGCGAGAAAATCTTGGGTCGATTTTTGAGCGACGAGGTGGTCGAGAAAAATGAATGTTTTCGTTGCCATCAGGATTGCAACGTGGCGGCAGGCCGGGCGCCAAACGTTTTCTGCTGTGAGAACCTGATCTGTGAAGCCTGCTGCGAGCACGTGAACCCAGAACTAGGATGCTGGCTGTGCCGACAAACCTTTGAGAAGCACCGAGAGTGGGGACGAGTAAATGTTTACAAGGATATTTACGCCGGAAATAATCCTCAGAATCGAGCGGAGCCTGTGAAAAAGGTAGAAGTGGATTCAGAAGTCAAAATTGGCATCGACGTTCCAATCGAAGCTCAAGAAGAATCCAGGAAAAGCCAATGTACATCTTGCAAGAGCGAATGCTTAGCCTCAACCCTGATCGTTTGCGTACAATGCGATAATCTGACTTTGTGCGGATCATGCGCGGTATTGCACCATCTTGGGCATGATTTGGCTCCGTTAAAGAAAGTGGAGGCGGCTAAGCTTGAAGCCGAAACAACTCGTCAACTGACTGTGCTATACCGAGGACTATTTTCTAATATCAATGGTGTGAACGAAGCGGTTTCAAAAAACCAAGAAAAATTGTTGAATAACGCCGAAGATGGTCTGGCAAAAGTTGGCTTGCAACCCAATTTCGAAAAAAGCAGTCAAATCTGTGATGGAATGCGCCAGGCGGCTGATCAGTATGAAAAATGTTTCGAACTGTACCTCCCGCATGCCAGGATCTACAACGAGCATCTGGAGAAGCTGCACGAAACGATTACCAATTTTATGCAGGACTTTAGGCTTGAATAAATTGTTTTCAAAATCGTTAATGGACCTACAATTGCACAGGAAATAAGCGTGAGAGAGAGAGAGCGAGAAAGAGAGAGAGATAGAGAGGGAGAGAGAGCGTGATAGAAGGAGCAAGGCAGTGAGTGACAGAGAGAACAATGAGCGCTAGCTACCAAAAATCAAACGTGTCACCTCAGCTACTCAAGTTTTATTCATCCTAAGTATAGCACCGCTTCGAACCGTTAATTTTGCATATTTTCTGATCAGGCCATATCTCTTGGTCCTGGATCTCCGTAGCTTTCATAGAGCTTCACCATTTTCATGCCATACTCGTCCGCAAGAGCGAAATGGTCTTTTGGAAGGAAATTTCGAAACGGTTCCCTCATCCTCTTCCATTCTCTTACGAATGGGCGAAAGATGTGAGCGTCGACGTACTCTTCAGATATATTTGCCTGAAATATAGAGGTCGTATCGAGAGAGAGGTAGAGAGAGAGGGGGAGCGAGAGCGAGAGCGACAGAGAGAGAGAGAGAGAGAGAGAGAGAGAGAGAGAGAGAGAATGAAAAAAAGCTTACTTTCGCATCAAGTTGCAAAATCTTCATTCGATCCAGACGATTTCCGACCCTGTTCCACTCGCCGATTCGGATGGCGCGATCTTGGCTGGAAAATAGCTATTCAACCTGGTCATATATGAAATCTTTAGGCCATTTGGAGTCATGCTAGCAGAGAATTCTTAGGAATTATCGAAACACTGTGAAAATAGCTCATTTTCACTTTCTCACGAAATTGTCTAATCCTGGCAATTCTGGTTTTTCTCGTGGCGAGAGAAGGCTAGCAGGGGACCTTGCGGAATTCCAAGCTATATGTGAAATTTTTGAGGCTAGATTGAAGTTCAGTTTTATAACAACCCACTTTTTCTTCCACGTGTACAGCCGATAGGACATCAACGTCTGATCACTGGACCACATCCGATTTCTATGCAAAGTTGTCAACCCGTTCGCGTTTTGGTAAGAAGCTAAATTAAAAACAAAACCTTAACAACGAACTAGAAGATACCTTCCTTAATATCTTTAGCGAAATTCTTATAAATATCCAGTTCCATCGAGACGACATCTTCATATTTCACGTTGCAGGGGGCTGAAAGTGGCGTAAAAAGACGACTCGCTTTAATAGCCCTTGAATTTTTTTGATAAAATAAACTCTTTGAATGACAAAAATAACCTTAACGTAGAAAAATCATTAACTTACCTAAAATCTCCCGTAATACGCTGACTCTAAATGCCATCGAAACCACGGGGAGGTGCGGAAATTGCTGCCCATTCAAAGTGTCGTACCCGCAACATTTTGAATTGTAGAAAAACATCTAAAACAATCAGAAACCATAAAATACAAGCTTTTTACATCCATCCCGTCAGCCCAGTAGCGCTGGAGCTTAAATGGCAGATAATCTGAATCGGAGAACATGATGACGTCATCGGGCCTCATGTCAAGTTTTGAGTTCGCCGCGTGAAAGCGGCAGTGCTAAAAACAAATTTGAAGTTTTTAAATTTAAAATTTAATCGATGAAAGTTAAGCTTTACAAAGTTTTCGAATCTTCAAAGTTAAAGTCAAAAGTTCTTAAAGTGCAAGTCAAATTTAAAATTTTCATTAGCTGAACCTATTTTTGCTATTTTTGATTTTGATTTTTCAGCGCCTTCAGAAATTATTCTAAAATTAAAATTTTCTTTTTCTCAAAATATATATTTTTAGCTTTCGATAAATTTTAAGATTTTCATAGCATGTTCTGCTAATGTTTCTGACGGTTTTTGTATTTGTATCACAATATAAAGTATTCATAGCTTTTTTTAAAGAATTCCTTGTTTTCCCTAACATTTCTGCAGTGCAAAAGTGTACGAGTTTGCTTTCACTCTTGCTTAAAAGTCAATTCACATAATATACCTGCGCCAGCGTTGCCTTCTTCAAGGTATGATTCCCCGTCAAATACGTTACATTAGCCCCTATCCGGGCTAATAAATCGATGCTCGGCTTGGTCATATTTGTCTGGTAGTCGGCCGGCCAGCCCACCAGGCAAATAATCGCTGAAATCGGTAAAATAAGAATTCCTGAAATTACGATGAACTCCAATCCTCAGCCAAGCCATGGCCGCGATTGGCAAAGAGTTGAGGAAAAACGGATCGGCTGTGGAGCTCATGCTAGCAAAAATTCGAGGTGGTGCCGTGGCATTTTCCGGATCTGGAGGCGCTTCCTGAAAACTGGGATTTAAAGGGCTTCGGTATTGTCGTAGACGCAGATCCAGTTTAGGCTTGGGCTTGGGTTTAGTTTAGGCTTAGGTTTTGACTTAGGCTTAGGCTCAGGCTCAGGCTCAGATTTAGGTTTAGGACTGAGGCTTAGGGCTTAGGCGTAAGCTTAGGCAATGGCTAAGGTTTTCGCTTATGTTTAAGCTTAGGCTTAGGCTTAGGCTTAGGCTTAGGCTTAGGCTTAGCCTTAGGCCTAGGCTTCGACTCCGCCATTCCTAGAAACAATTTGTATTTACCTGTCGTAACGAATTCGGCACCCACTCGTTCCATTTCTTCGTTATCGTAAAGGTATCCACCGAATTGTCAGTGTACTGTACAATCGAAATACAGCAGAAAAAGCCAGCGAGAAAAACCACGATGTAAGACGGAGCATTCGCAAGCTGAAAGGCCGACATCCGATCTGGGAAAAGACCCGTTTTTTCGGGCGTGGCCAGGGGTTGCATTTTTTTCTGAGATCTGTGACTTATGAATATTTAGATAGTGGTCGATGGTTTCGGAGTCAAGGGTCCTTTTGTTCACCAGCGACCTAAAGCTGGCGGTGGGAACCGCCTAGCAACCCGGGTGCAGAAAAGCGTTTTTTTCCCAAGCAACGTGACAGATTTAGAAATATCTAATTCACTTAGATTTCTTTCTTTCGCTCGCTCTCTCTCTCCGGCTTTCTCTCTCGCGCTTTCTCTCTCCAGCTTTCTCTCTCTTTCTCTCGCTCTCTCTCCTACGCGGTTACGGTCACTGTGTGTCTCTCGACTCGCCTCGCTAGCGTAATAAAAATTATGAATTGAACAAAGCCAATTTGAAAGAAATTGATCATTTTCAAAATGCCCGTACAAAGGCATGGATTTTTCTCTCACCTTTTAAGCAAAACATTGAATTCTCGTAGCATTTCAATAGCTATAAATTTTTAATTTTTGATAGAAAATAATATACAGTTTTTGGCGTATACCCCAAATTGTAGTAAAAATAATTAGCATCGGTCAGTCGATTTGGACATGGTGGGACGGGACTACAAAGGAGGCTCATGCGGGCGAGCTGTTCAAACGCTCCGGAGAATGTTGCAGATCTATAATGCGGGAATATTGATTGCCGGGCTGGAAGGTGGAGGATATGGCGAATTTTCAGATTATTTGAAACTGCAAACACGAAAGATTTTATCGCTTGATTCGCAGGTTGAACCAGAACCAAAAATAGCGTATTGTCATGGAGGGTTGAGCGGAGCACGTCGTAGGTTACGTATAAACATAAGATAAGTCATTATATAAAAATTTATAGCAGTGATTTTGGATTTCCCATCGTCAAATCAGCAGCTGCCAATTTTGCATACAAATTCCATATTTCTCGGCTGATTCGTATAGATTTTTGGGTAGTAACTTCTTGAAAAACGGTCGTAGTTTCTCCCAATTTGTTGAATTGGCCTTGGCAGGTGACAATCGTCATAGTTAGTAAAATTGATCTAAAAATGGTTTGCTAAATCCGGACACTCGGTTTTGTCTCTCTCCCTCTGTCTTCCCTCTGTCTCTCTCCGTCTGTCTCTCTCCCTCTGTCTCTCTCACACCTTTTCTATCGTCACCTCGCTTGGCCAATTATTCCGATCAATCCTTCTGATAGTCCCAAGCTTTTCAGCGATTTTGAAAATTCTTTGAGACCTGAAAATCGATAAAAAACTTGTTTGCAAAAATAAAAATTTAACCTTCTCTTCCAATCGAATATTCTAAACGACAGCAGCTTTTGATCGGAATACCAGGCTGGGAGCCGATGAAGCTCGTTTAGGTTTGTGGCCTGTTCGTACTCTAAATTACTAAAGTAGAGGAATTCTAGCAATTCCTTCTTTGATTCGATTTTATGCAAGTTTCCAAAGCGAGTGAAATCAAAGTTTTTCATACTCGACTCACTTTTATCGAAAGTCGCATTCCCAAAATATACCATAACATTTTCTTCAATTGATGATCCATTGTGATAATCGGCTGGATGACCGTCTAAAACCCTCGTTTAAATAAAAAAAACGTGAAAACCTAAAATCTGGAGCCAATCTTTTTTACTAGCAGCCACTGTTACGATAGGCAAATGCTGAAAGGTCTCCCCGAACATTTTCTCATGGCCGCAGCATAGCGGATTGTACAGGAAGAGCTAAAAGTTGAATTGGGTTTCGGCTTACATAGACTCCAGTCTAGTCTTACTTAGACTTCAGCCAAACCGTTTTGTGGTGTCACCATCCCTTTAAAATCACTTACATCGACACCATCATCCCAATGCTGCTCCAGATGAAACGGTAGATAGTCAGAATCGGACAAGACTACAGTATCATTCTCGGAGATCATCGGTGATAGAGCTGCGTAGATTCGGCAATGCTAAATGCTATGTATTTATTTTCTAGCATTTTTTATTCCTATTCTTGAGTACGATATGATCCTTGACTATCTGCTTATCAAAAAAAGGGTTTCCCGATTTTTAATGCAATCAAAAAGCCTTCGAAAACCCTCACCTGAGCCATAGTAGCCTTTTTGAGCGTGTAGTTTCCGGGTAAGTAGGAGATCGTAGCGTTCAGTTCGTTAAGTAGTTGAATAATTGGGGAAAGAGTAGTAGTTTGATAATCACTTTTAGCACCGATCAGGCAGATGAGGGACTGAGATGGATTTAAAGTTCCGGAAAGAATTACGCATTAAATTAAATGGTCGAAAGGCAAGCAAAAAATGTTTATTACCTAGTGTTTTTCCAAGAGCAAACGACATGCCGTAAGTTACAAGCGTACAAAATACAACTTTGAAGCAAAAGGCAAAATACAAGCAAAAAGTTACCCTCAACCCGTAGTATATTCCATAACATCGCGGCTAATGGTAATGAATCGATGAAGAACGGATCGTCTGTGCCACCCAGGGAGCATCGTAAATCTCGTCTTAGACGCCTCTACTAACCGTTACATATTTGGACCCTAAAATCACTTAAAAAAAAAAAATATTGTAGCTTCAGTACTGCAAATTTCAGCTCCCCAAAAAACATGTGCCTCGCGCTCATAAAGAGTCAGAAAACTATAGAGAATAACAGGGACCAGTGGAATGAGAATCAGCTTTTCATGCCCGGGCACAGGCTTAGGCTTGGCTTAGGCCTAGCTTGAGCTGGGGGCTTAGGCTGAAGCTTAGCTTGGGCTGATGTTTAGGCTTAGGCTTGGGCTAGTTTGGATTTAGGCGTATATTTCAATAATGGTATATTTGAAGAGTACAGGAATTTGGATCTTTGATGAAATCCGGCAACGGTACGTGGCGGAAGCCCATCTGTGCAAATATCCTCCACTTCCCCTACTTGTGAAAAGAAAATGTGTTTGAAATAAATGTGTTTCCGGAGCGGTTTTTCAAGGTTTTATTAGATGTACATGGCGATTTCGACATTCTTTGGAGTCTTCAACCGCTGGCAGACTTGCGGTGGCATCTGATGAATTCTGGAAAATATCGTTTGAATAGGAAATTATTGGAACTCAAAAAATCATCTTAAATATAATTAAAACCTAAGTCTCTAAATTTAAACAACAATATGTAAAAATTGAGGGTTTTGGGACGAAATTCAACAGAAACCCGATTGCTTGTGAAATCAACCCGAAAAGGACCAAACGAAAAATCCGTAAATAGGCATAGCTTCACCTGTAGATAATCGCTCACGGATGGCAGAACAAACATCATAATTGGCGGCGGTTGGAGGAGCAGGATAGAGAAATTCGGATCTGAATCTGGATTCTAAAATGACCAATTGTCGTTTACCTGAGCAAAGCGTGGGTAAGTGAAGTAATAGATAATTTTCGCAGTGCTTTAATAAGTCTTCGATTTGGTGATGCTAAATTGAGAAGAATACAAAAAATCGGCCTAAAGTTACCATGGCTAAAATTGTAGAGTTCGACAAAATTTGTGTTGTCGACAGAGAGGGTGAGGATACGAAGGACTCCGGTCTAAAGCGAATGTTACCACAATCAGGCCTAAGCGGCGAGGCTAGTTAGGTGGGCTAGGTTTAGGCTTGGGCTGGTAATGGCTCAGGCTTACGCTTAAATCAGTCTTAGACTTAGGCTTCTCGAAAAGTCTCAAAGCCCAAGCTATCTGACCCACCCCAAGCCCCGGAAGTCCATAGGCCTGTGATGCTTTGAGAATCTGGAACAACTGCCCGGGCCCACGGCTTGGTGTCGATAGCCGCCCGGTGTACACGAATTCCATCAGGGACTAAATTATGTCGTTTTTACAGCTTCAAACCAACCAGAAATACGGCAAACGGCACGTCGGAGATCTGGATGACCCCGTCGGGGCTCGCAGTAGGCTTCTGAACTTTTCAGAAGCGTTAACGAGCACGATGCGGTGGCCGTAGACGATTGCCGTCGACCTGAAGTAGGCTGGGGAGGAGGTTTAGGCATAGGCTTACGCTTACGCTTAGACTTAGCTTGGCCTAGGCTTAGACTCTAGGCTTAAGCTTAGGCTTAGTCATAGGCTTAGGTTAGGCTTAGACTTAGGCTTAGGTTAGGCTTAGGCTTAGGCTTAGCTTGTTTGGCTTCGGTATCGTCGTGTACTTACCTGGAATCGGATATCCGACAGCTGCTCGCTGTTGACATAGCTCGGGTCGATCGATGTTCCGGTGCACCGGAATTGTGGGGGATGTGCATTTTTCTGGGATGTGAGCGGAAAAGAAAGAGAGAGAGAGAGAGAGAGAGAGAGAGGGAGAGAGGGAGGAGAGAAGTCCCAGCTACATTACCCGGCTCACTTCCGAATCTACTTTAAAATAGTGATGCAAGCAGACAGGGCAGCAGCAGGACTGGCATCACCATCAGGATAAGACAGTTCTTGCTGCAGAGCCTGCAGGATCTAAAAGCCGGTTTCTCAATAAATGGTGACTTACCACAACAAGCGTTCTATTCAAGTTCTCTCATTCAGATCCGCAGCAATATTTGGGCCAAATCAGCAAGGATGGAGGGACGAGGCCTAGGGCTGGCACTTGGGAGGGTAGGATTCGAGGGCTCGGGTCCAGATGAAGGGCGGACCAGGGCAGGCTGTCGACTAAAATTGGGATAATTAGGCCTGGGATAGGCCCGCGCTTAGGTTTCGGCTTTGGTTTAGGCTTAGCGCTTAGGTGTCGCTCCAGGAGAGCGTACTCACCCAAATATTCAAAAACACGGCTACATCCGGTTTCTCGGTCTCCACGGCAATTAGAGGCTTCTCGCACGGCTTTCTTACCGGATCCGGTCAGCTTTTCGTATTCACACTACAAGAAGTCTGGTTAATTCCAAAAAAAGCTACTTTGACTTACAGTTTCCAGGCTGCCATCATGCTGTCCCAAGACTTCTGACTCGGTGGTTCTGACGATCCGGATGCGCCACCACACTAAAATGACACCATTTGGCGGGTAACAAGCTTTAGAAGGAGAGAGAGTGAGGGGAGAGAAGAGATAAGAGAAAGCTTACTTTTGTTAGCAGAGCCGTCAGGACTGTTTCGATTGCTTCTTATTGCGGCTGCTGCTAAGGTGAAATCGATCCGATGCTGAATTTTCTACAGTAACCCAAATAATTTCTTTTTATCATTAATTCAATAACTACAACATATCAGATGAGAAATCGAATAAAATATGACACTGAATGTTGGGAAATCTCACTGATTATTCAACGTCTGCTCAGCTCCAGGTCCTAGACGGATCAGCGCCGCGATCCAGCAGAAGCCTTACACTTTCTAGGCATCCTTGTTGGACTCGAGATCAAAATTAGGTTTTCGGGAGAGGGGAGCGAGAGAGAGAGAGCGCCAAAGAAATATCCTCACTCCCTGCAATAGGGTCTCGTTCACTATTTCCGGACGAATCCATCTTCGCATCAGAATTCTACAGCATTTTGACCATATTGTGCTTCTGATATAGCCACTGCCCATGTTAGAGGCGCCCAGCCGGCATATCCGGAAGACAACTCTTCACTGACGGAATTGCCATGTCCGTTGGCCATCCGGCAGCTAATAGCGCGTTGTTGCTTCGGAATTTGATTGAACGACGGACTCGGCGAGGGGGCACATTCCTGAAAAAAAATATACTAAAGCGTCAAAACTTCATGTTTCGCTTCAAAGACTTACCATGGAAAATTCTACGATAATTTACCTTCCACGGCACCTTCAAAAGCGATATGAACTACCTGACAGCAACTCCTGGGCATTAAAACGCTCCAATCGAGCAGTGATCCCGTGGTGAACGTTTTCGGCATTACCGGTAGCAATCTGCCCGAAAAATGAGGTTTTTGAGCATTCGAAAGCGTTGAGTCTGACGAGATGGGTTAAGTAAGGCTAAGAGAAAAGAATCCGATGCAGCCAGATTTACCCAAATGCAAAGGTCATCTTTGGCATCTTGCGGTCCAGCATCGCGGCCCAGCCCTCCCTTCTTCAGAGTGAAGCAGAAGGAGGCGGGCAATCGACACCACGAAGGAGACGGGCGGCCTGAAAGTTGAGACTGGGCCAGGCTTAGGGGCTTAAGGTTGCCGCTTAGGCTTAGGCTTACCTGCATGATATCCACTTCATCAACCGTCGGAGCACAATCTATGCTCGGCAAAAGCGTAGATTAACCGCACTTAATCGGCAATGTAGGATAGTTGACTGACTGAAAAAATGAAAAAAATAAATTGATAAATTTCAATATTAAAATAGAGAAAGGAAAAATCAACCATTAACCCTGGGCAAAATTAAAAGTTTTTAAAGTGGTTTTTAACTTACTATGGGACCCCCAGGACCAGCAAGCAAAGTAGTGAAGACTTCGAATGCCTGTCGCTGCTGAGCTGAACCCTAAAATTTGCGATAGTACTGAAATTCAAGATGTTTCCTTACTGCGCCTGGCAGTTTGACATTTCCGGTCGAGTGCAAAATCAGATCCCCTCACTGCGTGAATGGCATCCACCAGCTTCGCAAAGGATCGGGCTCAACAGGTTCATCGTGGCAAAAGGGAGTCCGTGTTTGAGAAATACTGGATAAGCTGATCTTGCGTTGGAATTCAGGAGCTCTAGCAAACTTGGGGGAGGTCAGGACTTCGGGGGAGTCTAAAAATAAAGGTTTGAAGGGTTCTGGTTTAAATATTTTAAAAACTTCACTTTAAAACGTTATGAAAGTGCTGAAGAAGTTTTATAGGAAAAATGTGATACCTGAATCGACGATTCTCAACAATGAATTCCTCGAGGATACACTGGACGGCCAGCAATGAAGAATGATACGACTGCCGAATTTTAATTTTAATATTTTGGAGCATAGATTTATTTAAGGAACTCGTGCCAAATTATTCTGACTTTGTGAAAGCTCGCATGTTGTCAACGGCGCTAGCCCATGTTCAAAATACCAAAGGAATTTCAGCCTATTAGGATCCGCTTGGACGAGTATATTATTAATTCGCAAATCCAGTTGGGATTTAAATACCAGTGAAATTGCAAAAGTTTACAACTAAGCTTTTGATAACTACATACATGCTCCGAAAGTGGCTTCCCAGGCAGCTTCTCGATTAAATAGCGAT